CCAGTATCCTCAAAATCCCTGTAGGAAAGTATCAATTAAATGCTTTGCAATGGAGAAGGTCAAATACACCCACATCTCTTGTTGTGCATGTGCATTAGGTTCCCCTATTGGCCCAGGAAGAGGAGTCTAATCCAGCATTGAGGGACCTTGGTGCTAGAAACAGCGACATTTAAAAATGTTTTCTAACCCTTTAACCACTGAGTACAGAGGCAGAGGAACACTATAGTGTTTTGCATTTCTAACGCTATAGTATTCCTTTAACCTGTTTAGGGCCCTGTGTGATCTTTATCAATTTCTACTTAAAGGACAACTCCAGGCACCAAAACAACTTCATATCAATGAGTCTTCTGGCATCTACTTTCTTTCAAGTGTTAAAATGTTTTCAGATAGTTTAACATTGAAGTGGAGTCTCCTTGGCACTGGCCCATCTTCCTCTTCTCTGCCTGTTTGTAAATGTGAAACCATTTGCTTGAGCAGCAGTGATAAGCCTGAGAGTGTCATATCATTGAGACAGGCTGTCACAGGGATCTGATTCCTTCCAACCTCTACTACAGGGCTAACAAGAAGAATCTCTGCCCGGTTCGCTCCAATCACTGAGTACCGGGCAATTGCTGGAACAACAATGAATTAGCCCAGCAATGCACCCTGTTTAACCCTCAGGCTAACTGATCACCCTGGGAGCCAATCATAGTAATGACATGATTTCCTCTCTTCTGTTTGCTTGCAGCAATATATTGGCTTGAGCAGCATTGATAGGTTATATGTTTCTGGTCTAAGCCTCCTTCCCAGTCCACAATATCTGAGTTGATATGTTTGTTACCTTCAGACACTACATTTCAGTTCAATATAAAATCTAGCAGAATCCCTTTTAACTCTAAAGTGACTACTGCCACACAGGATTCATTGGAGCTACTTTGGCACCAAGTCACTATTATTATTATTATTATTATTAGCATTTACATAGTGCCAGTATATTCCACAGTGCTTGCCAATTATAAAAAGGGGATATCTGAAAGCAAGTCGTTTACACACAAAATACAACATAGACAAGAAGGCCCTGCTCCAAGAGTTTGCAATCGACAAGCAAGGGGTAGAGACAAATGAAAGAAATAATAGCATTTCAGATGGTAGGAGGAAGAGATTGATGGATAAGATGCATATGTCAATGTAAGATAGTAAAAGTTGTGTGTGGAACAAGCAAACGGTGGCAGGTGAAAGTGGGCTGGGTTGGGGAGGCTAGGGAACTGAGGAAGGCATTTGTAATGTGTCACCCAGAAAGATAAGCTAAAGAGATGATTTTTCAGTCACTGCCTAAAGGACTGCAGGTTAGGGGAGAGTCTGACGGTAGTAGTGAATTCCCAAGGAATAGGGCAGACTTTAAAAAAATTCTACAGATGTGAGTTGGCAGTGTAGGAAAGAGCAGATGTACTGTTTCTTTTATATCCTGGCAATTATTAGACTTTTATATCCTGGCTATTGTTAGAGTATTATATCCTGCCCATTATTAGACTATCCCTCACTTTAGATTTCTTCCCCTTCTCTCTTTTGCTTTCTGTCTTTGGTCCCACACTGGACTCTGACAAGTGTAAGGGGTTTGAAGTATCAGCAATTAGTTACCTTTTGTAATATTGTAAGTGAAGTACTTGTCTTTTCATATCCAGTACAATTATTTGCTACATGGGTTACATTGTATCTTTCAGTGATTTAACTACCTTGTTAGTTCAATAGTGGAGTGTGTACAACAGGCTATATTGTAAACATTCAGCTAGAGATAATTCCTGTTTTCTTCAGATAGAACTGTTAGGCTCAAGACATTACATCTAGCTGCTTTCATATATTCATTTTGGTTTCATTTAATTTGGTTTCATTTAATTATATTTAGATCCCAATGTTAGGGACTCACAACACTAACTTCTGTTTAGGCATCACATGACTTGGAACTTACTGGGTTTTTTCTCTACTAGCAATCGCATAATACAGACACTTTGGGATAAATTAATTTATTAATTAAAACTCATTTAATATAAGTTGTAAACTTAATATATTGTTTGTTGTTTGTTTTTGGGTGGGGAGGCAGGGGGAGGGTATTTGCAAGATTTCGCAAGATTAGTTATTTTTACATGTCATATTTTATGATTTTAAGTGTTGTTCTGGTTGAGTAAATACAGATTATTGTTTTTATTATGTTTTTATAAGTTATACTATCAGGTCACACTCTTCTTACCTCTTTTGGTGAGCTATCCTCTTCTTTCCTTGGTATGGTAGTTTAGGTTAAGTGTATGGAGTGGAAGCCAGATTGAAGATGGTCAAAGAGAGATTTAGTATCAGAGTGCTCTGAAGGTTAAGTCTTACAATTGGCCACCTCCATACTAAAGGGGTAGACAGGGACTTTAAATAAATGTAGGGGTGCTAGGAGATATGGGACCCCTAGCTATCCAGGGGGGCATATTGTTATTTGGGGGGGGGTGACCAATGACACGTCCACCTCCCAGTTTTATCAGGGTTCCCAACCACTACCCATGTGTGAAGGCCATATTTGTTGCATAACTTCAGAAAATTAACTAACATCCTAGACAGTCCAACAACCAGGACACATAAGAATAGAATGGGGGCCTTTTCTAGTGACTGGGCAGCAATAGATGCTCAGTGGCTATATTTTAATATTGAGTATTAAATATAGTGGGCAGCAGCAGTGGCGTACACATGACCCATGGGGCCCCGGTGCGAAAATTGATCTGTGGGCCCCCCCCCGGCGCGCGGGCCGGGCCGCAACACATGGCGGTGGGCACCTGGTCGCAGGGGTTACAGGGCTGCGACCCCTGCATGTACGCAATTGCATGCAGATGCACACACACTTAAAGGACCACTCTAGGCACCCAGACCACTTCAGCTTAATGAAGTGGTCTGGGTGCCAGGTCCAGCTAGGGTTAACCCATTTTTTCATAAACATAGCAGTTTCAGAGAAACTGCTATGTTTATGAATAGGTTAAGCCTTCCCCTATTTCCTCTAGCGGCTGTCTCATTGACAGCCGCTAGAGGCGCTTGCGTGCTTCTCACTGTGATTTTCACAGTGAGAGCACGCCAGCGTCCATTGGAAAGCATTATGAATGCTTTCCTATGTGATCAGCTGAATGCGCGCGCAGCTCTTGCCGTGCGTGCGCATACAGCCGACGGGGAGGAGAAGAGGAGGATCGGAGGAGGAGAGCTCTCCACCCAGCGCTGGAAAAAGTTTTACCCCCTTTACCCTTTCCACAGCCGGGTGGGAGGGGTATGTTTCCCTGGCACTATATTGGTCCTTTAAAGGACCACTACAGACACCCAGATCACATCAGCTCAATGAAGTTGTCTGGGTGTCAGGTCCCTCTAGTTTTAACCCTGCAGCTGAAAACATAGCAGTTTCAGAGAAATTGCTATGTTTCACTGAGGGTTAATCCAGCCTCTAGTGGCTGTCTCACTGACAGCCGCTAGAGGAGCACACTGAACGTCCATAGGAAAGCATTGAGTAATGCTTTCCTATGGGCGGTTTGAATGCGTGCGCGGTCTCATTCGGAGCTGAGAGGCTGAGGGATCCCCAGCGCCAAGGGAGTCCGGCGCTGGAGAAAGGTAAGTGCTGAAGACACACACACTCTCACTTACAGAAGCATACACACTAGCTAACAGACACACACATTTACTGACAGAGACACACTCAGCGACAGACATGCATACACACACACACACTCACTGACAAAACATACACTCTCATTGACAAACACACACTCACTAACAGACATCAAACAGACTCAGTAAGACACACACACTAACACTCACACTAACACTCACTCTAACTCTAACACTCACTCTAACACTCACACTAACACTCACTCTAACACTAACTCACACTAACACTCACACTAACACTCACTCTAACACTAACTCACACTAACACTCAATCTAACACTAACACTCACACACACTCAATCTAACACTAACACTCACACACACTCACTCTAACACTAACACTCACACACACTCAAACACTAACACGCTTTTTTTGTTTTTTAAATTTAATCCCCCCAGCCTCCTTACCTTTTGGAGTGCTGGGGGGATTCCCTGGGGTCCAGTGGTGCTGCTGGGCTCCTGGGCGGGTGGCCGGTCGGGCAGGCGGGCGCGCGAGGGAGCACTCAGTGCGACCCTGGTATGTACGCCACTGGGCAGCAGGGGTCAACACCTATCTCACTGCCTCAGCCTGCTCTAGTGCCTGGGGGTCCAGCAGTGCCGCTACCCACCATGCTCACACACTTGGAAACTTAGAATATGTGTCTAGAGAGATAAAGCTAAAATTATTAAACTAAAACATGTGTGCATTGCATATATCAAATATCCAAAAAAAGTAACATATTTATTGTTGCATCAAGGCTGATCAGGTAAGAAACACTAAAGGTGCATTAAATGGATAGAAATTAACTTCTTATACAGCTGTGGATTACTGTTTTATTAAGTGAATATCCTTCAAACATTTGTGAAGACAAAGAAAAAAGTAAGCCTCCTGATACCTAACTTCAGGATTTACTTTAAATATAAGTCAAGCAAAAACATACAAAACATCCTGCTTAACCACCGAGCCTCATGGACGCCATCTCTCAGAACTCCTTCAGGTCAATGGCAAATCTAAAGCCATCCGGGGCCCCCATGGGTCCAAGTCAGGTGAGTGTAGTACTCAAACCCTCCAGACACAAAGGGCTTCTTATTCACCCAAAAGGGCAGGAAAACCTGCTGCAAAAGTCGGGCCTACCTTGCCCCCCTACTGGTAGAGGCCTTGAGGCTATCGTGGAAGTTACTCGAAGACTTCACATATCAGACACCACCCTCAAGCGAGCAGCAAAATGGGGAGAAGAACCCCAAAACAGCTAGGGGGAGTACCCAAAGACACCCAAGATATAGGGAACCTGCTCCAATGCCCCTCGGGTCACAAAATGGCGGCCGAGCCGGACCCAGAAACTGACTCCAACTGCTCGACGATGAGACCGGAGGATCAGGGGAAATATCAACAGCCCCAATCACCACACTTATTGCAAGCTGAGGGTGATGACCTGGCCTCGGCCACTAAATGCAATATCCGGCAATTGCTGCATGAGATGAAACAAATGTTTGACTCGGACATAGACTTGGCCCAGACGGAGATACAAGCTGTGACCACAAGAGTTCAGGCAATGGAAGAAGATATAATGGGCTTATGCCAAGAGGAGAACAGCATGGGGCACACCCTCTGCCAGTTGCAGTCTGCCCACACAGTAGTCCAAACTAAACTGGATACCATAAAGGACCACAGCAGACAGAAAAAATCTAGGGGTCCCAGATACTATCGGTCTGACCGAACTGCAACTGCTGGGCTCACAAGCCAAAAAGCTGGAATTTGATGGACAGTTTCGCATTAACAAAGGCAAGCAGGCAACCCCTACAGCCCCAAGGAATGTCATTGTGAGATGCCACTCTCTGATAGACAAACACCGCATATTAGCAGCATTAAGAAACAAGACCCCGTACACATTTGAATCCTCCCAGCTTACCTTTTTTCAGTACATTACCTGCAATACACTTCAGTGGAGAAAATTGCTGGTGCGTCTCACCAATCAACTCCGTGAAGCGAAAGTGGAATACAGATGGCTCATGCCTAGGACCCTAGCAGTTACTCGAGAAAATGTTGTTCTGAAACTCACCTTGGCATAGGAGGCTCCATCCTTCTTCCAATCGCTGGGCATGGCTCAGTGGACTCCGACCCCTACAACACCACCAGTTGTTCCACACCTGGGACCCTAGCAGGACTGTCCCATTCATCCCACAAAGACAAAGGAGGCAGTTACATGAGTCTTGTAGCAGCAAGAGGTGTCATCTTGTACCATTTGCTCTTGTTTATGTTTTATTCATGTTATGTTATGACCTTTTTTAAGTTGTTACAAACCAGAAATTTCAATTTAAACCTGTAGACAAAAGGGACCCTGTTAGTGGGCCTCACTTCTCTTAACGACTGATCCAGTTCGAGCATCTTTGTCTCCCTCCCATGATCCCCTTTGGTTAGGGGTCGGAAATAGTAGGCCGCACAGCATATTTTACTAAACCTCGCACACCCTGACTTAGCAACCCAGACAGTAGATAGGGGCACCCACCACTGACCCACTCTGAAGGTTTTACAACTAGACCTTGACTGTACAAGACAACTCATATGTCAACACTCCATTAGACATCAAAGCCCGTACCCTATCAGTCCACATACTCTCAGTCACACTGCACAGGAGTGCAGGGTGTTATTTACAATATAAGACAATGCTCAACTAACAAGTACGCCATAACTAGCCTTACAACAACACGACACTAAACTAAAATGACTACGTTTGATTGTTCATCTTTAAAGGGACATTATAGTCACCCAGACCACTTCAGGTCAATGAAGTGGTCTGGGTGCAATCTTCCTCAGGTTTTAACCCTGCAGATGAAAACATTGCAGGGTTAAGCCAGCCTCTAGTGGCTGTCTTCCGGGTATATTATGCCCCCATCACGCAGAGCGTCCATAGGAAAGCATTGAAAAATGCTTTCCTATGGACTGTTCGAATGTGCACGGTGCACTTGCCGCGCATGCACATTAAGCTCCGCTGACGTCGGCAGAGGGAGCTGACGTCGGCGGGGGAGGAGAGGTCACCAGCGTCAAGGGAGCCCGGAGCTGGAAAAAGGTAAGGTGCTGAAGGGATTTTAGCCCCTTCAGCCCAGCGAGAGGGGGAACCTGAGGGTGGGGGCACCCTCAGGGCACTATAGTGTCAGGAAAACCGCTTAGTTTTCCTGACACTATTGTGATCCTTTAATATAAAAAAACAAGTGCAATGTTTTATCTGATTTTCTGTTTTACTGATATGTCTTGCAACAATATTTGTTTTCTCACAATCTACCATATACTGGCATGTACATCTTTTTATGCACTGCAAAAATAAAGAATTAAATAAATAAATAAATAAATAAATAAAATCCTGCCTATAGAGATTATGTGTGATATAATTTCTACTTTAGACCACTAGAAGGCCCCCTTTCAGCCTTTGATCAGACCTAAATAGGAACATTCGTCAGTGTAAAGTAAAGGTGGTGAAAGAAACAAACACAGGTGAAGCATTACTGCTGGAACACGTTCCCTAGTACACCCTAAACATCTCAACAGGAATTGCTGGCTTGGCACCTAGTTATCTGACAATGTGTCTGCAAAGCAGAAAGCAGGGATATCAGGATATCCAAGGTCATCAGGAATGCAAGCTTTAACAATGAGTTCACTACAGCTCACCCATTTTATTTTCGTTTGATATTTTGTAATAAAACAGAAGCTATGCAAAGTATTTTACTTAATTGGAGCTTAGCTTTTTTCCCCAGAAATTTCTTATATATTTTAGCAGATAAACTTTATTTTGCTTTATCAAACTTATTTTGTGTTGTTTTTTGTAATGGATTGCAACCTCTCTGCCATCACTTGATAGTGAAGCACAATAATTTCACAGTAATTTCCTGTATTTTATTCAAACCAGGGTTTCTTCACTAAACAGTGAATTTTGATGAGTTGAAATGTTCTAAAATGTGGGTCAATACTGACCTATTTATACAACAATAAAACTAATTACATTTTTCAACTCATTTGTCAATTTACCACAACTCATCATTGATAGACTCTAATATAGCACTATTGATATTCAGGATATACAGTTATTTATAAAAAAGCAACTCAACTTTCTACTTCAGAACCTCTAATGAAATTTTAAAGCTACTTGATTTAGAAAAGTCATCAAAATAAAACTTTGCAGAAATTAGTTTTTTCCACATTCAAAAAAATAAAAAATAAATAAAATGTAAATTGAAAGCCCTCATGGATATTTGAGGTCTACTGGAGTCACCCTATTGATGAATGAAACATCATCCACATACACAAATGATTGTGTGATAAAATGTGTAACAAAAATGGAAGAACAGAATGGATCAGGTTCCTGTCCAGGAAACTTAAAATTTTATAAATCTTCTAAATCAGGCACTCCAAAGGCCACCCACATCTGAAGGGGCAAGGGGGGGGGGGGGACAACATTTGAGATGTTTGCTCTAAATGTTGCCTGTGGTGTGTGGGGGCTCTTTCTCTGGGGCTTTGTAATTACTAGAGAGGCTTACGGACTCTCATTTGATAATTATAGTTATTAATTGTTTTGTCTAAATGTCATGTATGCTCACAATATTCAGTATTTTCCATGTCTTTATAGTTCTTATTGTTGACAAATGATTGTTACATAGAAAAATCCCACTTCTGCAAAATGTTGATCCTTCAGTACTACTTTCAGTACTGTTTATGCGGATAGTTCTTATTCTTAAACTCTAATTTAACTGCATTTTTAAAATGATTATACTTTAATGAAAATTACACCACCCACACACATACTAATTTATCATTATTGTTTAAAATGCCTTAGTATTGTCATTAGCATTGGATAATTCAAAGAAAATTAATATTAAATACCATACTTAAGAGAAAATGTGAAAATGTCAAGCTTCTAAAATGTGGGGAATGCAATCCTTAATCATTCATTTACTAAATGTAATAAAGTGTTAAGATAGATCATGAGAAAACAACTAATAACTGTGGTTGCATGAATGTAACATGAAATATAACAATCCAAGAATCATGCCCAGAGCAAATGAAAAGTTCCATAATGGGAATCAGGGGCAATGTAAGCTCTGCTGTGCAAATAATAAAGTAGATATTCATTCATGAAGTAGACGAACAGGAATGAGGATAAACAGAGGTTTAATAAAAGATGAGGGAAGGGGACGTATTGGAAAAGGTTGAGAACACCATGGGAAGGCAAGTAGGTAGTGGGATGGAAGGTGATAGATTGACAAAAATGCGGAAAAAAAATCTGAAGATCTTGAGATATTTAGGGAGAAGCTGTTATGATATGTGGATTTATAGGAGAGGACACTTCTTGTCTTCCAGTCTCGGAGAACTTATATAATTAAACAGGAGATCCAGGGATATAGTTTTCTGAAGAGCCTCTTTGATAGCCTTCCCAGACAAAGTTGGTTCCAATGCAAACTGCAAGTACAATAACCTCGTTCCTGAGAAATTTGACTCATCGCTTTCCTTCACGATGCTTTTTCTCATTGGATTCGCCATTTCTTCTCTAATGAAATCATGTCATTTGCGAACAATATGAATTGCTGAGAATTCAAAGTGAATTCAAAATAGAATTCGTGTTTTTGGGCCACAATTGCAGCTGACTTGAAGTATATTCACTTTGAATTCCTGACAATTCCCACTTAAGTAAATAACCGGACATCTTAGCTAACACCTCCTTATAAAGTGCCAAACATTTAACACTTTTATTTTTAGTTAATGCCTTTTTACAAGATATATGACATGGGAGAAATTAGAATTTTGCCACATTAGTCAACTAAAAATAATGATGTTAGATTAATGTTACTTCTGCTTACAAGTGTAAATTCTGGTAAATATATTGACTTTCTGCACTTTCACATACATGTTGTGTTGGGGGAATCCGTTTAGGAGCATGACCCTTGGTCTTGAATATTTCGTTTATCCATCTAGTCTGTCTAAATGTAATTTCCATTTTTGTATAAAAATCAAGTCTCCTTCTATTTCATTAAATCACATTTGCAACATGTTCTAAACCAGGCATCCAGGGCAATATATAACATTCTATAGAGATATGTAGTTAGACAATGACTCTTTAATTTGAATTGCCATTAATATAATTGTGGTAATATATTTACAATTTTGTTATTTAAGACATTTATGCACTATACACCAAACTGTAATTAATTGAAAACCAAATTCAGGTTAAAATAACCAAAGTGTAACTACAGTTGATTTACATAATATTTTTCAAAATCATTCCTATTTGCCTAAAGTTTGCAATTTGGCTTCCACTACATTACAATCTAGTTAAAAGGACACTTTAAAATTGTGTATTTACTTATTTTAGTTTGCTGAAATGGTTTATATATTACGAGTGTGTTTGTCCTGTGTTTTAATTTTATTAAAGTGCTGGTTTCAATAGAAATCTGCATTTGTATGAATAAACTTTGTTACACCTCTCCAGCTGTCAGTCAGAAATTCAGTCCTCTTACTTCCTGGTAGATTAGCTACACATTAGAACAGCAATAGACAGTCTGTTGCTGGGGATGAATGGAAGGTATTGTAGTAGCTGCAAATACTAAGCTTGCAACTCTTGCTTTCCAAGATTTCATAAACTCCCAAAAACATTCATATTTTCTTTGTGGTATATCTGCAAAATCATTTATTTATTTATTTATTTTCTTTTAGATAAATAAACCCCAAAGACTTTGCCCAATACATACACATTTATTATTTGTTTTATAACAG